CCACCGCCTGCGGCTCCCAATGCACCTGGACCACCGCCTGCGGGTCCCAATGCACCTGGTCAAGATACTAAGGCAGTCTTAATTCACGAATTGATTTATGCACATCTGTCTACCCCTATATATTAATATATTTCGATATATTAATATAATATATAATGTATATATATATATATGTGTGTATAGATATATATATATATATATACTATGCATCATAAATGTCATGGTTGCTAGCGATTCTTCGGCAAGAGAACCACATATATACGGATGTGTTCGTGTGTATAATGTGTATATACACACGATGAGCGAGCAGAGGTCACACCGGACCTGGCGACGACCCCGAAGGCTGCAGCTGCCGCTTCGCAAACAATATAGTTTACTCGCTACTGACTGATCTATAGAGCTTCTATATATATATATACATATTTACATGTACATATGTATTTTTTTTTAATTTTTGTAGTATACAAATTGAGCGAACAGAGGTCGCAGCGGACCTGGCGAAGAATGCCCCGAAGGCTGCAGCTGCCGCTTCGCAAACAATATAGTTTACTCGCTACTGACTGATCTAAAGAGCTTCTATATATATATATATACATACTTACATGTACATATGTATGTTTTTTTACTTTTTTAGTATACAAATGAGCGAACAGAGGTCGCACCGGACCTGCCGAAGAATGCCCCGAAGGCTGCAGCTGCCGCTTCGCAAACAATATATATATAGTTTACTCGCTACTGACTGAGATATTATATAGAGCTTCTATATATATATATATATATATATATATATTTACATGTACATATGCATGTTTTTTTTGCTTTTGTAGTATACAACAAGAGGACAGAGAATAGGTCCATAGAATGACTCGGGCTGAGGGTGATGACGTCAGAGCTTCCGGACTGCCAGAAGCGATCCCTGCGAAGACAGAGGCAGTACCCGCACAAAGTTTGGAAGTGTATATGGTATATAGCGATGCATGACTTAAATCAGTTTGGCTAAACACGGCTGCACAGGAGCCGACAGCTGCAGCTCCGCCCGAGCCTTCGGAGCCGGCACCTCCTGGGCTTCCGGTGCCGCCACCACCGCCTGAGGAGCCTCAGGATGATGCAATGGCTCCAGTGACTCTGGCAGCAACAGTATTAGATATTTGTTAGTGCGGTTGTAATATAGTGATCAAGATGTGTGTATACGTATATGTATATACAAGTAGCTATATATGTATAGACATGTATATATATATATATATACACCACACATTACAAATTGATATATGTATATTTACATACATATATGTGTATGTATCTAGGCATATATATATATGTATAATACGTGTATATAGCATGTTGGGATCGAGGCCGTTCCCGGCAACATGACCCCGGAGAAGAAGGATGCGGCAGTTCCTCCAGCAGCTGTGGCAGCAGGAAGACATGTACATCTGATATAGTTATGAAATAAAGAACAGCTACCGAAACGGGCGAAAGGTGACTCCACCTCGACGGGGCTCTGCAGCTGCTGCCACTGGTTCGAGACCTCGTGGCTCCCGGTCGCCAGCAGCTTGGACTGCATATATTGTGTAACTTACTATATACCTGTATCTGTAAATCTATATATATATATATGTATATATACACATATATATATATATGTATCTGTATATATATATATATATACATATACACATATAATGTATTATTGTAATACTTGTTATATAGTACATTTGCTCTGCAGGTGCTCGACGAAGAGCTCGAGGAGGAGGAGGTCTCCTGGAACCCTTCGGATGTCGAGGAGGCGGACAAGAGGGGGGCCAAGAGGAACGTGCAGGACATCTGGTTTCGTCCGGATGGGCAGGCTCCACAGAAGAAGGCCGCGAAGAGGGAGACTGGGGCAAGGGCGAAGAGCAAGTCGAGGCCACAGCCACGTGTGCCGAAGGTGCCGAAGGCGAAGAACGTGGTGACGAAGCCAATGCCAAAGAGGCCGGTTCCGCCCGCCTACCCGCCACCGAAGGCTGCTGGACCGAAGGCTACTGGAGCCAAGGCTGCTGGAGCCAAGGCTGCTGGACCCAAGGCTGCAGTGGAGGTTCCGCCGCCGAAGGCTTTGTTTGCCCTCTCGAGATGGAGGCCAAAAGGCAAGGTGGTGATTGGCCAGGATGGCTCTGGCTATATCGCCGGCGAGAGGTGAACCCGGGCGGCAGGGGCAGAGAAAAAGAGCGAGGGTCCTTGATCATGTAGAGGTGTGTATATATATATATATAAATATATATCATACATACATATACATACATACATACATGCAATGTACCTGAAAGTGTGAAGGATGCCTTGTATCTATATTTGGATACATATATACATTATGTATCTTTATATATGTATGTTGGATTGAGCTATATATATATATATATATATATATATATATATATATTTTATTTGTACGAATATGCACAATGGTAGGCCGAAGCCATGAACCCAATCCGCCCTTACAACTCCTACCCGAAAGTTTTTG